TGCAGTTATTAACGCCCACATCCAGAAAACAATTTTTGCTACAATAATTATTTTTTAATCTCAATCCTAATTTAATAATAATAATAATATAGCCTCTTTATTTCCATAATGTGCAAGTAATAAATATCATAGAATTATTCATAAGTACATACATGAAATAATAAAATATTACAACAATTAATACTATAAATTAGATTAAAATAAGCATTTTAAAATTTTTCATTTCATACAATTGTCAATTAATAATAATAAAATTCAAATTCTAAACGATAATTGAATGTCAAAGTAATTAATAATTGCATGTCATTATGGACCCCTCAGCGAGTAAAGGCCTCCTCCATTTTGCTCCACGTCTGTCTGTCCTTTGCTTTTGTAGTCCAATTTTCACCAGCCTTTCTTATAACTTCATTAACCCTAATTTAATATTATAACAGAAATTAAATGCGTGTTTGTGTCTTAGTTGTGTGTATGTATGTGTGTGTGGGGGGGTGTGTATGTGTGTGAATGTGTGTCTGTGTGGGAGTATGAATAGCCCAAATTTACACTACATGAACAGGCCAAACCCAATAAAGTACCAAATAATGCCTCTATATCAGAATATGTCAGGCTTTGAAGCCATTCCATAGTTTAACTCTGTATTTTCTAAGAGTAAGAGAAAATATATTCAGAACTCCGTTCACCTTGTTGTATAAAACAGAAAATATAAATCAGAAGTGGCGTCTAGCTACATTTAATCTTACACTGCCTGTCTTACACAAATGTAAAGTCTACGTCTACATAACGAAACACGGTCATCATAGTGCATCTGCGAGTGTTTACGTAGTATTACATTAAGTAAGTATTTACTTACTTAATGTAATATACTACTACTACTACTAACTGACAAAACATTAAAAAGTGCATAGAGCTCAGATATTGGAAAGGTAATTGGTTTTAAATTAATTATTTTAATAACAGAGAGATAAGAGGTGAGTTTTACCTGAACAAACCCCGACAACAATGCAATATGATGTAAGTGATTGCCCCAAAGCGTAATAAGTAGTCCTGAGAGTTTCCAAATCTACGACATTTATAAGATTTTTAAATAGGAACATTAACTTCCTGACTCTAGCTACTGTAGTATTAATATGTTCCTTCCAAGACAAAACAGCATCAACCCAAACACCAAGGTATTTAATGTGAGGAGCACGCTGGATTTGCAAACAGCTACATACAATTTTTGCATTCGTTAACTCGTAATTGATGAGCGCGATGGTAAAAGAAGAAGATGGAAGAGAGCCTGAACGTGGTTAGCAAATTTATGGATAACCATTTCATTACTTCCTGTAGTACAAATTCAGCGTTTGAATAAACTTCACTCCAGGTACTTCCATGGATTATCATAGCAGTATCATTCGCATATACAGCGATTTCGCAGTTTGGAAGAACCAATTTACAGAGGTCATTGATGTAGATATTAAAAAGGGTAGGACCTAGAACTCTCCCCTGCGGAACACCGTAACTGATATGTTTATCCTGACTTGTAAAATTGTGTATCCTAACACACTGCGAACACTCACCAAGATAACTTTTGAAAATATCCAACGCAACACCCCGAACACCGATCCTCTACATTTTTTAATCAGAATAGGGACAGATACAGTGTCAAAGACTATAGAAAGATCCAGGAACAAGCCAATCGTCTTGAGTTTTGATTCAAGGTTCCTAACTACTGATTCGCTAAGTTGTAGAACTGCATCTTCGGTTGATTTATTTTTCCTAAAACCAAACTGATTTGGCGCAATAATGTTCTTTGCATCAACATAATTGATGAGTGTTTTGTTTAGGATCTTTTCCAGGATCTTAGACAATACCGTTAAAACCGAAATAGGCCTATAGTTTGTGACACTGCCCTTGTCCCCACTCTTGTGAATCGGGTGTACAAGGGCTTTTTTGAAAGCTGTTGGAAAAATACCGGACGTGATACACAGGTTAAAACATGCACAAGAACAGGAACCAGTGAAGTCTTGGCAGTTTTAATTATAGCAGTAGGAATCCCACCCCATCCAGTTGCAGGAGTATTTTTTAAATCATTAATAATGCTTTCAATTTCTTTACCATCTGTAATAAAAGGGGACATTGAATTTATTGGAGATTTTTTTTCTGATATAACAGAATTTTGTGGTACAGAAAAAGTGAGAGCCAAATCCTTGCCAAATTATTATTAGGTATATATAGGTAATAATATTATTAATTTGCCAATTGGCAAAGTAATAATTTACTGCATTTACTGCACAATTTGGGTCATTTGAAAGCGAAAGAAGTTGATCAGCATGTATGTGCGATTGATTAATGTTGCCTATCTTTTTTATAAGTGCCCAGGTTGCTTTTGAATTATTTTTTTGTATTAGCAAATTCAGCTTGTTCATATACTCTTTTTATTAAATTATTTAAGAAGTTTTTATATCTTATATAGGAAATCTTTAGAATCACGTTATCAGGACCTTTTTGTGTTATGAGATAGTTTATCACGGTTTCTCAAGCATCTTAACAAACCTGGTGTGATCCAAGGCTTAATTATTCTTTTTTTACTTGAGGTCGACACTATATTTGTATATCTAGTTACAATGGATGAAATTATAATGTACAAGTTTATTAGTAGCCTGATCTGCGTCATGGCAAGAGAAAATAGGTGAAAAATCGACGTGCTGTAACTCCTGGGTACATGCGTCTATATTGATATGCTTGCGAGAGCGCTCAGGGTTTGTTGACCTAAGTTTTAGGCCACAGCAAAGTATTACGGGTGCGTGATCTCTAATAAATGAGTCCAAAACAAATGTGATAACGCTAGATTTGGTCCTGAGTATAACATGATCAAGACCGTTACGACCTCTTGTAGGAAAATCATGAGCTGGCAGCAAACCATGAGATGCAGTAATATTGAAATATAAGTCTGAATGGGGATCTGTGTTGGCTGGAGTAATATTGATATTAATATCCCCCACAATAGCAATACTAGGATAATTACTAATACTTTTTATGGTGACGTCCAGCGAATTCATGAAACCATCAGTATTTATATACGATGGTGAGCGATATAGACACACTCATAATTTAAATAAAACTAGTAATAAGTTTTAGAAAGTACGTGTTTACTACGGTATGTTTTATATCAATCTGCGCCGTTTAAATATGTAGAATATCTAGTAAAGTTTATGCCTAAATCAATATTTTTGTATAGGGGTTTAGTACGCTTGAGTTACCTGATAAACAATAAAAATAGTAAGAACAGTCATTGTTTATAATTGATTTTAATATAATATATATATATGTATGATTTTTAGGTTTTTCAGTGTCATAACTGCGTGAAGCATTTTATTTTCCTTATTGGTAATTTAATATCACTGGAAATACACAACAATAATAAACTTATTTACCTCTATGTCTGTGTATAAATTCTATACATGTAAAAACAATTAAACACCATTTAAGGAAAATCATCTGAAAAATATTTTAAATGGTACATAATACCATATACATAGTACTTGGATAATACAAAGCTGGCATACCTTCGAGTAAGAAACATTAGCAATCTGTGCTGGCAGCTATCGGTGGCCTTACCTTAGACTTTAGACTAAAAAAATAACGTGTAAAAATCGTTATATATTTGTAACCAATATGGTATTAAGTTTGGAAGAGATATGGAAGAGCGAGAGTTCCTGACACAGGCAAATAAACTTGTCTACTAGGGGTTCTCAAATATTGTATCACTAGCATAATATTGGTTATAGAAATAAAGTATTATTGTTTTTTTTGACCTTATGAACTTATAACCACAGAACACAGAAAGAGGTTAGAAGGGCCTTGCAGGCCTTGACTTGACTTGACCAAAACTTGGTTCTGATTGCGTCGTTGCTCTCGGTTGTGATTCGCTGATTGGGTCGATTGTTTGATGTCGCATCCTTTGATTGGCTTTTATTATCTATTAGGTGGAAGTGTATTGGGGCGAGCCGGCGACATTGGTTCCAGTACAAACGGTCTATGAGCACCCCACTAAACTCTTTCTGTGTTCTGTGCTTATAACAATTCTAGATTCCAATGGCAACTTCATCTGCGTTAACTTTAATTTTTCGAGTATCCCACAGAAACCCTGACATTTTCCCTGGATAAATAATAAACCCACGAGTCCAGCAGTGGTCAAACGCCGTATTTGTCACTATGGGTCGGCAGATTAGGATGTTATGCGTGACTACTTTGCTTCAGTCCCTTGGAAGCAGCGCTGCTTCAGTGACAGGGACCTATCGGCCAGCGCCGTTAATAGGTATGGAATACTTTATTCCTCATTCTAATCATATCAGTAAGGGCATATACGTAACCTCTGGTCCACTCGCGACTGTTGAAGCTGCTTCGCTGTGTGCTTCAAGGCCTGTAAGAAGGCTTACATCGAAGCGGATGCCCAGTGTGTTGCACGTATTCCCACGGGAACCCGTAAGGATACTTCGCAAAAGTCCGCTATAATATAGGAAAATAATTTTCTTCGAATCCGCTAGTAGTCCCCAGATTATTATTAGAACAAGGAAGAAGATGAAAGAACTATCTCCATCGTCTCCACGGTGTGTTAATAGCATTGATATCTCCACGTATTGTCATTCTGAAGGCTTTTATTGAATAAATATATTCTGATTACCATTCAAAGGGTGACAAAATAAATATCGTGTTTTTGTTTAAGTAGGTATGGTTGGTTTCGCTTGTTTTTAAAATTTTTCTTTCTAACAACTTTATACTGAAGTGGTAAGAAGGGTAAAACCAAATAACGGTATTCTTATTGATAGTAAGATAAAGAGCAACAAGGGCAAAGTGGTCTAGAAAGTGGCATTCGTTTTATATTTTGGACGATAACGCGTTAACATTCCCTCGACTGCAGAGCGGCTCCATTTAGCGCTGACCACTGATGTAGGAAGAATATTCATATAACCCAAAAATAGTCGCACATACGAGTATACAACAGCATTTACTGATAAGCGCAGGACGATGTAGTTACTAACAATTAAAATTTTACCTTAAAGCTCTGACCAGTATGAAACTTTGTTTCATTTAGACATAACAACTGAACTTAGAACATGTTTCTAAATCTACTGTTGTTACATAATTTATTAATTATCATTTCTTTAGGGAGTTGTGAAGATATATATTGTGACAAAAATGTGACCGATCTCGTTACAGGAAATCATGTTGCCAATATGACTAGTTTTTGTGGGAACCAACACTGCATACATAGATTTTGCAACAATTTAGATGACGTTTTGTTGCATTTTGAAAATGGCACAATGGTGTGTCGGTCTTTAAAGGAAGTGGAAGGTGTGGTTAATATAAAAATAAATGTATCTAAAGTCGGCGAAGTGTATAGACGTGTCGGAAGCAACATCACACCTGTAAACAAGACTTGGCGTGATTTCAAACATGTAAAATTTCCGGACAACACTAACACAAACTGTACCAGTAAGTGGATGCGAAATTTAAAAAAATCGTTGCTGTTATACATCTTGGAGGTAATTGTTAAAAATTGATAAGTTTAAAAAACTACAAACCGCTTTTACTTATTGCACTAAAAAGTCAAAAATAAACAAAATATACTCTCTGTTTATTTCATTAGGGCTTTAGAGTAAGCCATGTTTATATTTGATTTTAAGATATATATATATATATATATATATCACTGAAAAAGCGTGGGGCGCTTTTCATTGTTATATTTATCAAACCAATTAATACTTATATTACTTGATGCATAATGTTAAACAATTCAGTTAAAATTTAATCATATTTTAAAATCTTGCTCATGAGCCCAAACTCGATTCTTTTACTAGTAGGCAGTACAGGGCCCATCAACCACCTTCCAGTCCATCATCAGGAAAAATGAACAGAATATGTTAAGACGAATCTAATGAGCCCAAATTCTATATGTTTACTAGTAGGCAGTCCAGGGTCCTTCAGCCAATTACCAGTCCATCCATCGTCAGGTCCTCGTCATCAAGGAAAATTAACAGAATTTGTTAAGATAAATCTAATGAGCCTAAACTCGATATGTTTACTAGTAGGCAATCCAAGGTTCCATCAGCCACCTTCCAGTTCCATCAGCAGACCAGCTCGGTCTTGTATTATCATCTAATCTAAATATATTTGCCAAGTTTAAAGTAAATCTGATAGCTTAAAGTTGGGCAAAATCGAGGCCAAACGAGTCAGTTACATACAAACAAACATACAGGTGAAACTAATAAAAGCGTGTTAAAGAAAATACAATAGAATGTCTTGTTTTACTAACTGTACCCTTAGCACGAACCAATATCGAATTCGTAAAGTCTGCAAGTACGAAATGTCATTGTCAAATGTGTACTGATTTTTAGTTCTCGTTACGTACGTTATCAATTCGAATTCGATAATGAGTCGTGCTAGGGGTTCAGGTCACTGAAGTTTAATTAATAAACAACTATTTTACAAGTTGGGAGGCGTTCAAACTACATACTTCTTCGACTCTTTTGAAATATTTCTTGACTGATTCTGTTTATGAAAGAAAAATATTATATAATAAAAATATCGTGTCACAGTGTTTGTTGTCAAACTCCTCCGTAACGGCATCACTGATTCTTATCATTTAGCAAGTTGACGCAAAAGTAATCATCCAATTTTGTTTTTGAATAACTTTTATAATACAAAAAGTCGAAAGAAGACGTTTTGTTCGTATTTAATAGTACTTAATAAAATTATAATATTTGTACCTGACTCTATGTTGAATACTGTGTTAATAAAGTTTGTTTAAAAAAATATATTAAGTGTGTTTAAGTCCTCTATCCTAAGCCTATTTAAGTAGGTACTGCTGCTCATGAAGCTCATGAAAGTTTATGAACCAATAAAAAAAAAACATATTACATTAAAGGATAGTGCAATAGTATAGTACCTATATGAGGTACCAATTTGCATACTTTTGCTGACAAGGGGGAGGAGGTTGTTAATAATTGTAATAAATCGGTTTACGTAATACTTGAATGGCCCCTAATAGAAAAAAAATGACTGCCGTTAGTGTTGAAATACATTTGTGCACGTTTTATCGCATTTTCCATGATTTTCGGTGATAACTATTCGCATTCCTGTCGTATGACTCTTTAATTAAATAGATTAATTGAGGTGTGAGTACATCCACAAACTATATTTACACTATACACATGCCAAATTGCCAAAATGAAATCCTGCAGTTCACAAAATATCAAATACTAACTGACCCAGCGAACTTCGTACCGTACTAAGAGCGCTTAAATAATAATTTGGAGGATATGAAAGCTATCCGTTCGACAGGAACACAGTTTTTACTATAGTAAGCAATTGTTTAGAGAAATCTCTTGATTGTATAGCACTGTAACTCTCATATTTACTGCCAGCTGAAAATTCATTACCTACATGGCGTTACTATTCGATTAATAGAGGCAAGTCTTTATTTCATTGGCAGTAGTCAATCTTGGAATAACTGTCACGGAAATCTCTAGCTAGCGAATGAAATCATTCCGCTCCCGAAACACTTGAATATATTTATGTACATACTACATTCTTCTAACAATATGGCCGTGATTCAAGCAGAATCAACTGCTACCCCAAATGTTAGATTTTACATGAACAGGTTCATGATATCATAAGATTTCTGTAGTATAGATGGCGCTTGTAGCTTGTAACTTCGAGCTCCGTATTTATAAAAAACTTTTTTGGCAAAAATAAAAAACGCCGAAAAACTGAAGATCACTTAGATTACTACTATTAGGGTTAGATGCACTGATTTTATTTATTTATTGACGAACTTGTTTTATTTAATGATTGAAGTGCGTAAAACCCTAAGAAACAAATAGATTTTTTTTATCTTGAGTCAAATTAATAATTGGAGTCGGTGTCGGAATTTGGAATCATGCTCGATAAACCAACTATGTGATGGAATAAATTTGGTGATAGTAAATCGCTATAATTTATACGTTTAAGCACCTAATGTTATTGTATTTTAGTTTTCTTCAATATTATTATCCCACTAAACTATTCAACTTTTTTACATTCTTGTTAATTTGTTTTTTACAATCCGAAATGAAATAAAGCTTAAAGTTACGACATTCTCTCATTGTAAGCGGTACGAAATTCGCCGGGTCAGCTAGTAAAATATATAAAGATTCAACTCCAAATCTAAGTGAATATCACTCATAGTGTTACGAAAAAGTGCGAGTAGTGTTATCTCAGTAAAAATATTCTTAATTATCAAGAATTATTGATTGTGACTCTTAAGGAATATTTTGCAATAATTTTTAAATCTTCCGAAGTGATTACTTTTGCGCCACCTTGTATATTAATTAACAATTATTCACTCGACATTTTGTAGGACATCGAGCTATGAGGAGCTTGATGACGCAAGTGATTAGCGCGGTCGGCTGCGATCGTTGAAGTTAAGCAACTTTCGCAGTGATCTGTCATTGAATGGGTGATCAAAAATTTACTATCTCGAGCTCCTCCGTGCTTCGGAAGGCGCATTAATCCGTTGGCCCCGGCTGCATCTGCAGTCATTAGCACCCAGCAATTTGCGCTTGGCCCACGTGGTGGCTAACGGCCCAATCTCCCTTTTCCATTAATAGGCTGATGATGATGTTGATTTTAGGATGGATCCCTTTTAAAACATTTGGTTCCTCAAAAAGTTGATCTGGAACAAGGAGCGGAATCATTCCTAGTAGAATTCAAATTTAGACAACTTAAAGGAAAATGGTTTGGTCCTAACCTTTCCTTCAGGTCCTTTACAATAATAAAGAACTTGAATGATGACAAAATAAAACAGTATTATCGAGTAATTGGTGAGTCTTAACATTTCATAAGGTCACTAACAAACGCAACAGAAAAGTACATAAAAATCACAAATCACAGACGAAAATTACCTTTATACGTCGTTTTGAGATAGGTACACCGTGTCTAGTTCGAGGGTCGTTAATTTTTGTTAATAACATAATTATGAAAAGTCCATAGAAACAACATCAATTTTAATCATTACATTATGCACGCTGAGAGACAGACGAACGGACTTTTTTTTTATGAATTTGTACTTAATAGCTTGTCAATCAATATTATATTTCTTTTTTTTTTTTTTTATAAAATTTCATATATACATTAGATCAACTTTAGATGCCAAATATGTTAAGCTAGATTTTGCAATTTTAACCGAGCACACAAGAATGTACGCCCTCCGAGAAGCCATCATGGAAAACGTAGGTTTCTTATACATAATGATTAAGAAGAGGAACGATCTCATTTTTATTTTTCTCTGCGATTTCTGTTTTCTGGTTTATTTACCATGCCACTGAAATCTACAAAAGAAAACATTAACGTCCAGACCTAGACTCGAATATAATAAACGAAAAATAAGCTTCGAATAGAAACTTATCTGTTCCTTAAATTACAAACGGCGTAACTAGCCTAAACTTATTCCTCGTTTATTAATAAGCAGTTTGAATGTGCACAGAGATTCCTTTAATGACGTTATAGATTGACCGCCGTAAAATCTACCCTCCTGAGGGTCCGCGAGCCTCGGGGCGACGCGACGGGTGTAGACAGGTACACAGCGCATTACAGACGCGACGAGATATCTCATGATCATTACTTAAATCTTCTTGTAGTTATTATAAAAGTGTTAGTGTTTGTATTTGTATTACAAATGTATAATAATGTGTTACTCATAAGGCTTTGACTAGAATGAAGTGTATAAGGGGTCCTGAAAAACACCTCACGGGATTCATGCAAACCTCACCTGCGCGCGGTGCACCCTGCTATCAACTGACGAGGCTCTGGCGCTCCTCACCAACCCACATTGGGCCAGCGTGTTGGTAAACGGCCCAAACACCCTCCTAATGAATGAAACTAAACCAAGGCGAAAAGGGCCGGGCGGTACCGGAGGCCATGTTAGCAATATCGTATGTTGACAAGGTGCCGGGACCAGAGTTGCCATGAATCCCCGGGCTACCCCCCGCCATACGACTTTGGCCCTGGCCACTTATATTATAGCACACGCACACTGCAGACCGAGGAGAAGCTGGAACTGAAGGAGGAATTGAGTAGGATACGTTGGAGTGCGGTAGGATTATCTGCAGTCCGACGAGAGGGTAAGAATACGATGATCCTTAAGTTCGCTAACCTGCTCTATTTCCGGGAGGGCGCAGATAAGTTCCAAGGTGGTTTCGGGTTTATTGTCCACTAGTTTCTCGTGAACAGCGTTATACAGTTCGGAAGCGTGTCGAAAAGGATGGCGTACCCTATACTCAGAATCGCCAAACGGTATTCGCTTAAGGTCATACAGGTGTACGCCCTAACCTCGACACATCCCGAGGAAGAAGTGGAAGCATGTATGAGGATATCTCTCGGGCAATACATGCTTCCAGGACTTACTGCACCGTTGTCATGGGAGACTTCAACGCAAGGCTAGGTGAACGTGGCCATGATGAGGTGAAAGTGGGTCAATTTGGAGCTGGAAACCAGAACTTCCGTGGTCAAATGCTAGCCAATTAAATGTAGAGGAAGGGACTCAGTATGATGAACTCCTTCTTCAACAAGCGACTGCATCGAAAATGGACTTGGTAAAGTCCGGATGGCGTAATTAAAAATGAGTTTGACTTTATTTTGGCGACAATAACTTGGATATTCAATGATGACTGACTGACTGAGTGATCACTTCGTTTAACACGGGGAGCAATCACCGAATGGTAAGAAGCATATTGAAAATTTTAAAGGTATACGCACTGATGCATTCTACGGTCCACCCTGAAGCCATTCAGGTCCAAATCAAACCCCCGAACGCTTTCAACTCCAACTGCAAAATCGTTTCGATTGCCTATAAGACTGCACGGATGTGGGCGAGATCAATGATAGGTTCGTGAAAGCTCGGTCGTACGGTCGCTTCAAAGCTCTTCAAACCCAACACAAAAGCTAATGGAGGAAAAACGGGTAATGGTTTTACAATTTTCTGAAAATGCTCATCCACGTCGGCAGCTAAACAAACAGATCTCCATGTCATTTAATACAGAACGTATTATGGCGGCCATCAAACGGAACAAAGGCTTCAAAGTTTTAACACCTCTCAAACACTTTGAAGCCTTTGTTCCGTTGTTGCCACTTGGACAGAGCTTGCTGACAAAACTGAAGACAGAAGACGGTAGAATCGTTACATACAGACCCGAGCTTTTTGCAGAAATTTAAAGCTTCTATGGACAGCTTTACGCGACATCACGCAAAATCCGTCCCTCAGGCCATCGACCCTAGAGCCAAATCAACCCGACACTAGACTGAAGTTATACCGGACGCCAGCCTATACGAGATAATGGAAGCTTAAGAACAACAAAGTACCGGGTGATGACGGAATTGCAGTAGAGCTTCTGAAAGCAGATGGACGATGGTCCTGAAAGCTCTTCAGAGACTATTTAACTCCGTCATAATAGAAGAGGGCAAAACGCCGAAGGCGTGGCACAGAGCCATGTTGACACTCTTCTTCAAAAAGCTCCTGAGTCATATCTACTAGTTGTTTACGAGAGTTAATAAGAATCGTTTCGGTAGCAGGTTTGAAGACTTCCAGCCTCCCAAATAAGCCGGATTTCGAAAAGTTTACAACCTTTTACTATAGCACCATTGACAATATACATACATTGCGGCAGGTTATACAGAAGACCGAAGAGTACAATTTAGCGTTTGTGGACTATGAAAAAGCCTTCGATTCTGCCTTCTTTCTGAGACCTGTACTTCAGTCTCTCCAGTGGTTCCGAATAGACCAAGTGTTGCAGTTATGCTACGAAAACGCCACTATGCCTGTCCGCCTTCACGACCAAAACGGTGGTGTAAGACAGGGCGACGTTATATTGCCGAAACTGTTCACTGCCGCGATGAAGAAAGCTTTTGGACTGAAGATGACTTGGCATCAACATAAACGGCGAGTACATGATGCATCATCGTTTTGCTGATGATATCCTAGTCATGGCTGAGATGCTGGAAGACCTAGACACAATGCTCGACAACTTCTGTAGAATTTCCCAACAAGTCGGTCTTAGAATAAATATGGACAAGACGAAAATGATGTCTAATTCCCATGTCGTACCCACTTCGGTGTGGTAAGCTTAACACTGGAAGTTGTCGATGAATATGTTTACCTGGGACAAATGGTCCAACATGGTAAGTCCAATTTGCAGAAAGAGGTCCATCGACGAATCCAACTCGGCTGGGCAGCGTACGGGAAACTACGCAGCATATTCTTGGCCCATCTAACGCAGTGTCTCAAAACGAACATCTTTAATATGTTGGTTTTGCCCGTGATAGCGTATGGAACCGAGACGTGACCGCACACAATGGGCCTCATAAGAAAGCTCAAAGTCACCCAAAGGTCAATGAAAAGGGTTATGCTCGGGGTTTTACTTCGCAATCGAATCAGAAATGACCGTAATGGTCACCGACATAGTCCAAAGAATTGCAAGGCTTAAGTGGCAGTGGATAGGGCGGGCACATTGCAAGGAGTGCCGGCCTTTGGCGCGGAAAGGTCCTTGAGTGACGGCGGCGTACCGGCAGCGTTGGTAGGCCCCCATAAGGAGGACCGATGATCTGGTGAAGGTGTCAGGAAGCCGCTGGATGAGGGCAGCGCAGGATCGATCGGTTTGGTATTCCTTGGAGGAGGCCTATGTCCAGCAGTCGGCGTTTCCCGGCTGATACGATAAAATAATAGAGTTTAACTTTATAATATGTAACTTACTACCTACATTTATTTCAATATAATCACCTAGATTTTCCATAAATATTGTTACAAGAAAATACATATTTAAATACTAGCTGACCCAGCGAACTTCGTACCGCCCTAAAAAAATAGGGGTTGTCCAGCGGACAAAATTGTGAATGTAAACCATTCTCAGATCCCCTTGAACACACACAAAAAATTTCATCAAAATCGGTCCAGTCGTTTAAGAGAAGTTCAGTGACATACACACTCACAGAAGAATTATATATATAAAGATAAACCAATATATTTTTTAATTCGTAATATTTAATAGCATGCTCTTTGCTATTTATTACGTAGACTCTGTAATCCCATATTTGTTGTATATTTATCTCATGTGTAGCGGACAGAAGGCTGCAACTGCGCGAGCCCTGAAGGATAAACGCCTGTCGCTGTCGACAGCCAAGAGGCTAGTGTTTGATTGTGGTCAAGCGCATTCCCCTTTCGCGTCCCGCAGACCATTGGGAGGGTCGACTTTACGGCAGGAAAGGATATTTTGAAATTTAATCCTCTTAAAAAATTTCATAGAAGTTAGATTTGATGTAACATTAATGACAATATACCTGAATTTCTCATATTTTCAATTGCAGGTCTGCTGATATCCTGTTTCTTCCTGACGCTTATTCTGGTAGTTTACTCCCTATTTCGTCAGCTAATGAACCTAGGCGGAATGATAACGATGGCCCACGTGTCCACTTTGACGATCGGCTTATTCATGAAGGCTATGCAAAAATTGTTTTGGAGCTCCATGCCAAAACTTTGCCGCATTATCATCAGTAAATTACCTTTTTTAACATTTTTGTATAAAAACACACTGTGGGTCTGTGAAAATTGCTTGCGCAGCGCAGGCCCCATAGACCATTTTGCAGTGGAGCAAAATGCTCTAAGGGTCTGCGCTGCGTTAAAAGAGAGCATGGAGTGGACCTTTGAGCGGCGATACGTGAAGCGAGTCTCCCGTCTCAGCGCTACTCTATGAAATGACAATGAAACTGCACGCGGGGCGGATGTTCGCTCCATGCTGCCGCTTCACGCAGCGTAGGCCGATACTTTTCTGCAATTATTGAGATCGACCTAAAACGATTGTCTAAAATTAACAGACCGCCTACTTATTTTACTGTAAAACTTATTCAACAATCATATTGAAGTTTAAAAGTTCGTCCAGATTATAATATACATGTTTTAGACCACGTCTGAATGCTCTGAAATTTTTTGTCCACATTTCTAAAACATATTTATCAATTAAACATTTGGTGTACTTAATCTGGACGGTCTTTTAATTTTATTAATTCAATACCTACACTAAAACTTTTCTTTCAGCTATTATTATGTATTTCGGTTTACTATCAAGTTTCTTTTGGATGAATGTGATGTCTTTTGATATTTGGTGGACGTTCAGGTAAGCAAAATTCTTTAATACTGACAAACTTTCATTTATAAGTCATTCCTTTCATGGTCTGGTCAAAAATACCTACCAAGTTACCATTATATTTACCATCGGTCGGTGAAACCAAAACGAGTTTTTCAAATTTAAATCTTCACCAAGATCACTTCCATAGTCGTCGATAGTTAAGCTTGTGTCTTATTCAAATCGGTTCTAAGTTCTAACCCAAAATGAAATAATAAAGCAGGAATATAAAAGAAAAACTTCTAAAGGTGCATATTTTTTTTGTCATGTGTAATGTGCTCACACTCTCTTGCAATTACTGGTAGTGATGTCGTGAAATGCGACAGAAGTGTGTAACAGGATGTCGAGGGAAGCGCGCTCTATTCGATTTTTATTTTAGAATAAATGTTAATATTGCTATTATCCGACTGCGCACAAAAATTAGCACTTTAAAGTTTAATATTTCGCAAACGGATCCTTAAATTGAAGAATAGTCTTTAAAACAACCCCTAAGTAATTTTAAAGGACCTATTCAATTTGGGACCGTTAGGCGATTGGTCCCCTGGAGGGTTATTCGTTCTAAATTTGACAATATGTTGCGAAAAAAGAGTAGGTTCATAAGTGGTATGCGGTTTCCGACAGCGGCGAAACATACATCATTTGACTTTAAACTATTTATTTTACTCCGATTAACTTAAGATCGCTGAGGAGCTCGATGGCGCAAGTGGTTAGCGCGTTCGGCTACGATCGTTGAACTTAAGCAACTTTCGCAGTGGTCGGTCATTGGATAAGTGACCAAAAATTACTATCTCGAGCTCCTCCGTGCTTCGGAAGGCACGTTAAGCCGTTGGTCCCGGCTGCATCTGCAGTCGTTAGCACCCACCAATCCGCACTGGACCCGCGTGGTGGGTCATGGCCCCATCTCCCTATTCCATCCATAGGAAAGGCCTGTGCCCCAGCAGTGGGGACATTAATAGGCTGATGATGATGAACTTAAGATGGAACCACCGATCATTTGGTGTCGACCCCAAGACCGTTACCGTTCGGCTATCTGTCTCTTGCAGAGAGTTACAGAATTGCTGATACCTTGTGTCTTTATGGTTATTTTTAACTGTATTCTTTTTTAAGTGGAGGTTTCTTCCCTAGACGGGAATACTAATTCGAGCTGCCGCCGAACCCGCTCATTATGTCTATCCTCCCTCCACTTCTGACGCATTTGCTATACCTACTTATCTTATATCACATGCTTTACATAAATTAATAAAAGAGATGTAAATGTCTGCAGCGCCATCTATCAGCTAAAATTGTAAATTATGTTTAGTTTTCTGAATTTTTTTTTTATTTTCTCAATTTTTAGGGGTGAAATTAAGTGTCGAGCGATAAACCGACGCGGCATTGTGCACAAGTTTATCATGTATTCTTTATACGGGTTCGGTGTACCGGCCACAATGACTGCAATGGTTGTGTTGGCCGATAACGTCGACCTGACCAACACGTTGAATATCATCAAACCTCTCTTAAGCACCGGTCTACATGATTGTGAGTATAATTTCTGTCTGCCTATCATACATATAGTTACCTTCACACGTTTTATTATCCTTGAAGAGTATGCAGTTCATCAAATGTGAGATGTATGAGAATCAAAATGTCTACTGGTGTGATTCGTCCTCATCTGAGTACTTATAATAATGGTAGATTAAGGTCAGAAAATAAATATTTTTTGTACTAAGTTTATTTATCTATACTAATATCATAAAGAGATAAGATTTGTATGTAAGTATGTTTGTAACGAATTGGCTCAAAAAGTACTGGACCGATTTTAAAAATTCTTTCACCATTTGAATGCTACGTTGTCACTGATTAATATAGGCTATAGTGTTTTTTCAAAAAAGCTACGATTCCGTATGAAAACTTCGATAATATAACCCAACGTGTGTTAAGAATACCAAAAAATAGCCTTATATCGCGTACGCTGCGGAAGTCATTGACAATAGAGCAAAGTGATGTTCTAAAGTTTTATAGAGTATACCAAAATCTACAAAAAAGTCAGCGATACCATATGTCTCACTATAACAGTAATGTCAAACTAGCGGTCCGCTGCGGTTTCACCCGCGTTAATTTGAAGAAAAAGGTTTATAGCGAGTCAAACTTAAAATATGGGCTGTAATGAACTTTCTTACAGGACTTTTAAAGGGAAAGAATTCCGTCATACATGATTTTTATGTAACTTTCACCGTTTACCCAGCGCACGCAACGGAATCTCACAAATGGAATATTTCACCCGTTTTTGCAAAAATATTTTTTCAAATCGGAACAGCAGAGCAATGTTGCATTCGGTACAATGGGCCTAAACTACGCAACATTTTTTTTACTTTCAATTGAAGGTTTATAATATTATTATGAAGAAAGTCATTGTGTTGTGAAAGCCTTTGAAAAAAAAAACTATAGTCTACACTACAGCTCTACACCGAAGCAAAGCGAGGGCAGGCCACTTGTTAAATACTAAATATAAAGATATTCCATTTTTGAAAAAGATGTTTTGTTTGTCTGGACTACACACTCTAGCTTTCCGCTGCTCGCTCGCTCGACTATCATCTTGTTCATCTTGGGCGGTGAGACTTAGTCTATAATACCCCACTGTTGCGGCTCAGGCCTTCCCTATGTAACGAGTAGGGAGTAGGCACCATGACGCGGATCCAATATGGATTGGTGCTAACAACCGCGGGTGCAGCAGACGGAACCAACGACTAAACGTGCTTAAGAGAGATGACAAATTTTTGGTCTCCTATCCTATGACCGGTCATTACTATAATTGTTTAACTTCTACTAACACGTTAACCTCTATGCAATTGGATTTCTCGTACGTATTCTATCGCTACCTATTCAAGGTTTTTTATTCGCTCTCTGTCGTCCTTAGGAAGAACAATTCTCTACTGTCTGGCTGAAGGCAGAATAACCCATACTTTCAACTCCTACTTCACTCTGAAACCTCAAAAATTGTGTAAAAATAACACTATAAAAATTTAGCGCTGTCAAGTTATACTCTTACCTCGTAATTAATAAACGAAGGGAAAAGCTTGGAAAAGTTACTCCATATTTTGTCACTGTTCATTGAATTACAAATGGCATTTGTGTGACATGAACAACACACGTACTTAATTAGTTTAAGCTAATTCCTCGTTTACTATTAGGGGGTTAGGGCCAATACAGACTGGCAAAGGATGTTGCCTTGCCACCGATCAGCGCACACAGCCAGTAATTCCGTCAGGAGCGTTTCGAATACTGGGGAATTGGGGCTTCCGCTATATCCCGCCCAAATTAAGACGTGTCGTCACAGCCCGCATGAAGAACTTTAAATATAACTAAAACAAGTTTGAACGGTATAGATGCACTGATTTATTTATTCACGGATTTCATTGATGGAGAGCTCGAATGAATTGAAAATCATAAAATTCTAAATTTATTAATATAAATTATAGCTATAAAAATTGGCAAAGTGCAAGTCGGCCTGGCGCCTGTAGGGTTCCGAACCAATATCTATACAAAATTCAACATTTTACAGACCCTTGGTCCCTGGGGTCCTAACGCTATAAGGTTTTTTGAAGGAAAAGGTTAGTCAAAAAGATTAGTCGACACCACTGGAGACCGAAGAGCTGGCAGCTACCTCCGACAAAGAATTAGTCTAGCTATTTAAAGGGGGAACGCTGCCAGTATCTTCGGAACCTTGCCTAAAAATCTCTATTGTCTGTGCCCCAGCAGTGGGGACATTAATATGCTGATGATGATAATGACGATTTATTGACGTTTCGCATCCTTTTCAGGATGCATCATCTGAATTATGATTTATTTACTTTGTCGAGCTTCCTTCGAAAGACTTGAAACTTGTTTTATTTAATGAGTGGTGCGCGTGAAAATCTAAGAAGCAAACTTTAAATATATTATAATTGTCGATTTACAGTTTTGTTGATTCATTTTCAGCGATCCGGGAGTACCTTTACATTCCAATCTCAATACTGATAGTGGTGAACGTCTTATTTTTCACCGTGACTACTATAAACATATGGCTAATCAAGAGAAGCTTGCATTCGTTAAAGGATAAAAGCAATAAGAAACACGAGAACAGGTATAATGTGTTTTTATTAGTTCTTAGGAACCTAAAAAAAACGGAATCGTATGATATAAATATTTGTGTTCATCACACGAACAACGTTTTTATTTTAAGTAATAAGTAAGCAGTCGTTCTTTTTTGTTTTTTTTTTAATGTCACTTTTTTAATTTTTTCTTCGCAACTCCTTCAATATAAGTGTCAAATGAAAGGGCTTGATCTTGATTATTAGAATCGAGTACACTATGACGAGAATGCAAATCCAGTATAGCCGTCAACAAAATGGCGGTTTATATATTTTTATTTTTTCAGGTACAGCTTATATTTAAAATTGTTTGCGATAACTGGCATTAACTGGATCATAGACATAGTATGCGACTACATTGAACCACCAGATTGGTTTCAGTATATTTCTGACACGTACAACATCTTTAGCGGGGTAGTCATATTTGCAATCTTCATATGCAAAAAGAGAATCTTAGTGTTACTATCTAAAAGGTAAGTGTATTTTTTTCAGACAACTCTGAATTATTGCCTTGCAGCTTAAGGTTGCTTTCCAATTACAGAGCATAATGCGACTGAGTGCCGCACAATGCCGAATTATGCTGATGCTTAATTGGAACGTGAATTAGTTTTCAAATGCACCAGCAGAGTGTGCTAAATTCAGTGTTGAAAAAAAAAGTCAATGTTTGTACCTCCATCCATATTTATATTTAATTTTTAACACAGTTTTAATTGACTTTGATTATTTAAAAAAAACTATGATGAAACGAAAGTTTTAATAATTTTTCAACAATAAATAATATTACTAACGATAACATAAAAATAAAACATTTCGATCAATGCCAACTTAAAGAAAAAACACTTGTTAATTTTCTGTCTCTGAGTTGGTACGATTGCACGCATCACACGAAAGCATTACTTTTGAGAGTGCTCAATTGTGCGAAGCATTGCTGTAGTTGGAACACTCAACGTTAAGCATTATGCCGCATAATGCGCTATAATGCTTTAATTGGAAAGCTACCTAAGAAACACTAGAAAGAATTCTACGTGCCCATAAGGGCCGCGGTAGCATAATGGTCAGTTCATTCGCCAGGATAGCGAAGGGTGCCGGTTCGAGTTAATTTTAATTGTTTTAAAAAAACATCTAGCAGTTAAATCCTTAAAATTATATAAACTAGTCTGGCCATAAATACTGGAACATAAAACCATTTATTTTCTTCAACTTTTTAATTATTTTGAATTTGGAACACGTATATTATTTTAAAAACTTCTTTCAGTTTTGCGCCTTTTCACATATTTTTTCGTGTTCATTATCAATTTACAATATAGAATGGGGTGTTAAAGAAAATAGGATTGCAGTGCTCGCCTTGCACAAAGTGGGTACGGAGCCGTCGGTCATATTCCAGACACTTCAAAGGCTTGGTATTAGCCGTATGTTCGTATATCGTACTATCAACAGATACAACAACACTTCGTCTGTCGAAGACCAGAAAAGATCGGGGCGGCCGCGTGCTGTTAGTACTACAAAGGCTGTTAATACTGTTAAAGCCAAAATTCGTGGAAACCCCATTAGCAAAATATTTTAAATAATATTAATATGTTTTTTTTATTCGATTAAAGAAATCATATTGTATAATATTTTGCTTCGTAACGTTGTGAAAACATAAAATTACATTTAAAAATGGTCTCCAAAATATATTTTTGATTTATCTAAAAAATATTTTAGATGCTAAATTTTACATAATTATTTACTGTTTCTGACGTAATTGTGTAATATACAGAAGTAAAAGCATGGTTGTCATGCAAAAAGCTGTGTTATGTTCCTTACCTTACACATTTTTTTTCAGATTTTCCATATTTGCTCTCTTGTCTGAAATACTTGAACGAACAAAATCCACTTTGAATACGTCAGAACTAAAGAGCAACAATGTTTCAGAAAGTAAACCCCGAAACATGACGATTGACAACTTTAAAACTACTGAAAATCTTTAAAAAATAAAAATGTAAAATGGCTCGAATAAAGAAGTATATATTTTAAGGTTTTTCTTTTATATCCCATAGTGGCCCGCCCTCGCTTTGCTTCGGTGTAGAGTTGTAGTGTAGACTATAGTTTTTTGTTCAAAGGCTTGTATTATACACAATGACTTTCTTCATAATAATTATAAACCTTCCATTCCAAGTAAAAAAATCGTTGCGTAGTTTAGGACCCATTGTACCGAATGCAACATTGCTCTGCTGTTCCGATTTGAAAAATTTTTATTAATTGGACAGTGCATTTATCGAGGAAGGCTATAGGCTATATATTACCAGGCTATGAGCAGTAGCAGCGGAGCATCGATGAAAAAGGTTGCAAAAACGGGTAAAAATATGCCATTTGTGAGATTCCGTTGCGTGCGCTGGGTAAACGGTTCAAGTTACACAAAACATGTAGGTACGACGAAATTATTCCCCTTTAAAAGTTCCGTAAAAAAGTCCACGATAGCCTATGTCCATATTTTAAGTTTGACTCGCATAAACCTTTTTCTTCACATTAACGCGGGTGAAACCGCAGGGAACCGCTAGTTGTGACATAACTGTTATAGTGAGACATATAGTATCGCTGACTTTTTTGTAGATTTTTGTTATTCTCTATAAAACTTTAGAACATCACTTTGCTCTATTGTCAATGAATTCCGCAGCGTACTGTTATGAGCCTCGGGAAGAATGGCTTTTTAAAAAAAACAATTTTATTTATTTAGTAGGACAGCCGTCTGGTTAGGAAGTTGGATCGAGACTGCGGATCGTATGGATGGGACTGGCGGCTATGAGTACATAATGATGAGCTTGCAGTCTGTGCAAGGCAAGGGTGCATGGTGTGCTAAAGGGGATACATATACTATCTATAACACCTCCCAGGGGTAGACTAAACATCGGGGTTGAAAATACGATGTTTAGGAAGGTATTCGAAAGTCTGGGTATATATACATATATATACAAATTTTATATATTTCTGCGAATACTAGGACATGGGATGACTTCTACATCTGCTTGATGTTTTATGACTTTTAGAGGTAAACTTGGTTCATGCTCTGTTGGTTGATCAGAAGGAAGGTCTGCTGGAGTAGGCTGTATAGGTCTGGGAAGAAGGTAGGTAAGACGGCTGCGACATTTAATAAACTTAATTATTTTAAAAATACAGAAAGAACAAACAATGCAGATTATAACTATAAGTAATATCGAGTAATGAGTCTCGTATTTAATAATTTGGTGTTGATTTAAGATTGAATCTGCTTGGTCAGATATCGATCTCAATCTTGATTTTGTTTCTTGTGTAAAAACGTCCAAGTCAATATTTTGTAATTTCAAAGGAGCCTCGTTACTTGTTATTATCTTAAACTTATCTAAAGTGCAACAAGAGTCATTAATAATATTAAAATCGGATTTTACAACGGTGGAGTTCATTATTATATTGTTAAGTCTAGGTATCAACCTAGTGCTTTTACAATAAGATATACAATTAGTTGGGGTTGTAAGTATTCCTGTACCGATTATATTTATTTCAACAATTCCTTGATTTGGACATTCAATATATAATTTATTATTTTGGGATTGTACATATATCCAATTATTATTGGAAAGTGATTTCCATAAGTCTATGTGTCCGTGAACGAAATCGGTTTTACACTGTACCGGTAACACTTTTATCACATTTATCATTAATTCACTCTCACAACTCGGATTCGCACTGGTCGGGAACACTGTCATGACGTCACAAATATATTCGCGGGAGTTTATCGTTATGCATTCTGATATTGAGTCCGTATTACAATATTCTGATTTGTCCTTGGTCATTGCTATGTATTTACTACTTGGTATTACATATGTAAAAGAGTTTGGATTTATACTATCATGGGGAGTAGGTAGTGCAATGCTGTGATACAGGTTGAATTCCTTAGGGGATACTAAAGGTATCCTTAATACAAATACAATCTTGTTGCTTAAACTATAGCATACTATACTAGATATATTCATCAGAGTATGAATATTATTTAACGCTAGGCTAACAGGTAACTTATAATCTACAGGTAAGTATCTATAGTTATCGACGATTTCTTGGTATAGCTCCGTAGGACGGAGTACAGCCGGGTGCAGAATGTTTTTATTACTAAGCGTGATAGCGCTTGTTATGTCTTCAAGCCGGAACGATAACGTTAGTATGGATGCTTCTAAACTATTGAGTATTGAGTTTATGTTTGACTTTATAGTCAATTCATTTGAGATTAAAGTTAAGTTTTTTAATTTTAAAGAGAAATCATCGATAGCTTGGTTAAGGCTAGCTTCATTACTGTTTATTATATGTAAAGTTTCATTAAATTTTGATAAGGTGGAAGAGGTAACCAAAATATTTTCTTTCATTAATGATGCTAACCTTTTCTCATTATCATGCATACTTCGGATGGCTTTATCATATTTGATGCCATCATCCTCACTCAGAGTTCCGAATATAGTTTTGGAGAGAGAGCCAATACCACCTATCCATGCCCCTCGTTTGAACCTTTTGTCTGTTAAATGAGAGATAGCTGAATATTCCGAAACTAGATCATGATACCTAACTGTCAGAGGTGACAATGTGTTATGGCATTCTAAGTTATTAGAGGTTTCAATTTGTATTTGGTTGCATATAAGACGCAAGGTGCCTAATACAGAATTGATATTTTTTATGTGTGGTTCAATGTACGAGATATCCAAAGGAGTTATTATATCTAAGTGGCTTACATGAATTTTGAGTTCACCAATTGGGTCAAAGTATATACCGGAGCTTGAGTCGATCTTCCGGACATATTCCGGATGACCTTGGGCCAGTATGCTGTAAGGAAAAGAGGCATATACAGAACTCTGTATAAGTAGTGTACTATTTGTATATATCTATATTAATCCTGTGCAAAAATAATAAATTGATAATATTTGTGTAAGCGTATAACTAAGTAAAAGTGTAAATTATGTATATATGTAGTTTGTATATAAGATTTAAAAGTTAATTTATTTACCTATGTTAATTAAGACTATATTTAAGTTGAGGTTGAAGGCCCTTGAGCCTCCACATGTTTGACCTCGTCAAAGTGGTGCCTTACGTGGCGCCTATTTATGAGTAAAGACAATGTATGGTTACCATGGATTTTAGTAACCTTGTAAGGGCCCTTCCACAATGGGGATAAGGCCTTGCGTTGTCTGACGTGATTTTTTAATAACACGTAATCTCCAACTTTGTAACTTACGGGACGTGTATGCGAGTCATAATAGGATTTAGAGTTTAATTTGGATTTTTGTATATACTCTATTGCCTTGTCGCGAGTATATTTCATTCTGTGTTGCAACATTTTGACATATTCCGGGTAGGTAGGATTTGTGGTATCATCGTAGACAGAGTTTGGGATGCGAGGTTTGTACCCGAACAACAGTTCGAATGGTGAGTAATGAGTAGTCGAATGTACTGCGGTGTTGTATGCCAACATGGCAGTATATACATATCGAGGCCAATTATCCTGATTCTCATTGACATAAGACTTAAGATATTCCTTGAGGGTCGCGTGTGACCTTTCCAGAGCACCTTGTGTCTGGGGATGGTAAGGAGAGGACCAGAGTTGTTTAGTTTTTAGAAATTCGCAAGTTTTCTTGAATATTTCGGCTGTGAAATTGGTACCTTGATCGGTAAGTATATACTTTGGTATTCCGAAAAGGGAAACGAAGTGAAGAAGGCATTCGGAGCATTCCTCGGCAGTAATACTGCGAATTGGGTAGGCTATAGAGAATTTAGTAAGATCATCTTGCATAGTCAATATGTATTTAAGTTTAGCCGTACCGGATTCTGGCAATGGGCCTACGATGTCCATAGACAACCGCTCAAATGGGCCTGTCGAAGTAGAGGTTATAATCATTGGCGCTCTGTTAGTTTTTCGCAAGGCTTTATTAATTTGACACGATGAACACTTCCTCACATAGTTCTCAATATCACTACGCATATTCTTCCAATAAAACCTCTCCTTAATACGATTTAACATTCTAATGGTTCCTAAGTGACCGGCAAGAGGAAGGTCATGGTTCTCCTTCAATATCTTCGGAATTTCGCTCATTGAAGGATATGCAATGTTATTGTGGTAAATGTGAACACGTATGTTACTTCCGTCGAATAAATAACTAAGCATATTATAAATCTTGACAAAAGAGTGTCTATCAAAGGGATTTTTGAAATCGGATGTACTAATATCATTTACTGTGGGATAAGACATTATTATTTGATTACGAGCGTATTTTAGGGATTCGAAGATATATGGATATGAAAGGTCATCAAAATGATGTACCTTCGTGAACAGGAAAAGGTAAGTTTTATTTCCTGTTGTAAGAGGTATAAAAGTATGTAAGGATCTTTCTAACTTTAAAAATTCATCTCGCTCCAGCGCGGAACAGTTGTTTATTATTTCTTGGACGTAAGGCATGGACTCGTCCATATCTATTGAAGTTGGTATAATAACTAACCTTTGTGGCCCTTTTAGTAGATTTTCATTATGTTCTATTATTTGGGTATCATGCGACTCAGTAGAGGATTTTAGGAATTTGTTATATGTTTCATCGGGCATCGGTTGATTTTCAGGCTCAGGAGATGGAGTGGAAACAGGTAAGTTTTTAGGTACTGGAGAAGAAGTTTTGGAATGAGTCTCAACTGGAGCAGGTAAGTTTTGAGGGCTGTAAGCAGTAAGGGAAAGATCGTCGTCTTCCAGGAGTGGAATAGAAGGTAAGTTACTGTTTGATCCGAGAAGACTAGAGGGAATACGCACATCGAGATCGCTCAAGGTTAAAGGGCTGAACGCTGGAGAGCTTCCGGGACTTGCAACAGGATCTTGGTTTTCAGGTATGTTCGGCTGTGGTGGTTCATTATCAGGGTCAGTTACATTAGAATTTAAGGAATCTTTATTCGCAGGATATATAGGGTTCACCGGGTATCTGGACAGAGCGTCAGCGGCGGAGTTTAATTTGCCCTTACGGTATACTATATCATATTCATATTCTTCCAGCTTT